CACCAACCCTCCCTGAGCCCGATTTATCCGATGGGGGCGGCGCCGGAGAGGTCAGCCCCGTTGCCGGAACAGTCTGCGGCGGCAGGGCGCTTGTAGGCGGCGGCGCAGTCACAGGAGGAGGTTGTCTGACGGCCATGACAAGAACAATGAGTTTTTGACCGATTTTGCAGTTGTCAAGGTTGCCACTTACGAAATAAAAGAGACCCGAATGAGAAAGTGGGAAAATTGAATCACCATCGTCCATTTTCTGAATGGGGTTGTTGATGTTGCATGAATCGAAATCCTCCTTCTTCACCACCACAACTGAATCTATGCCTTTGTTGTACTTGAAATCTTCATGCGTGCAATAAAAAACAGTGAGAATCAATGTTGTACTAAAATAAGACACCCTTAACAGATTTTACTTGTTAGCCAGGAAAATATGTTTTAACATGGCTCATGATTGAAACAAAATTTATAAAACCAGGTGTTGTTTTACACAGTCTGCATAAATTAGATGAGAATCAAATGACTCAGATTTCAAAGTTTCAAATTGAATCTGTTCATCAAGGTTCGATCTTAATGTTTAAATGTGTGAAAAAATTAGATCACAAGAAACTCAGATGACAGAAACTCTGAAAAAGAGAAAATCCTGAAAAAATTTCATTCTTTTAAAAAGAGTTTGAATGAAAATGCTTAGAAAGATTGGACTCACGGAGAGTATCGTTGACTTGAAATCTGTTCCTCTGAGCCCAGTGGTTGTAGTCTTCGGAAGGCTTGGCCACCCACCCATCTCTTCCACCAACATCATACTGTCTTGCCTCAGCTTGAAACTTTGATGATGATGACGCAACAAGAAGCAGCGTAGGAATCATCGAAAACAAGAGACCCAGAAACGCCATTTCAATGATGTCTGAAAAAGATTATGAACTGAAAGAGAGAGTGAGTGAAAGGTGTAATACTATATGTATCTACTTATATATATATATATATATATAGTGGGGGATTGAGAAGAGAAGAGGTAACCGTTGGGGATTAGAGGAAGGAAAATGCTTTGATGTGTAAGGTATTTGCTGGCATTATATAGAAAGAAGAGAAGAGTGTGTTGGGAGAAAGTGAACGTTTTGTGTTGTGTGGTTGATTTGGAGCATGCAATGCTACGTATACACTTGGCAACATGCAAGAGATACAACGGTAATATACACTCTTTTTATTTACTAATTTATTTATTTATTTTTATAATGTTAAATTTACAACTCATTTTGAATAAGACGTATGAGAAGAAAGACAAATAATATAATGAAAAAAAGGGTGAAAAATAGAGAAAAAAAATTAGGGTTGTTTATTTGACCTTTGAATCTTTGAGAGAGTTACCTTTCGGAGTTTGAAAGTGAGAAGGAGAATGATAGATGATATAATAAAAAGGGTGAAATGTTTAAACCGGAATTCAAATATTAAAATTTGGTTAGAAGTGAAACTTATTAAGAATTTATTGTCTTTTTGATATCCAAATTAATGGACAAATTCACGGATTAAAACGACATTAAATAACCATGTGTTACTATTATGCAGAAATATATTACGATGAATAAAGAGATAAATAATTCATATTTTTAGAATTTCTTAACATTTAATAATTTTTAAAACACAAATAACAATGAGTTAGACTTTCAAAAATTAAATGTTCGTTCTTATTAATTAAAACAATTAAGAAAACAGCGAAAGGAGTGTTTTTTATATTTTATATTCTTTTTCTCTTATCTCATTAGTTCTCTAAATTGAAAAAAACTAATCGGTCCGAAATTCAAACTGGGATATATAGCAGTTTTGTGAGTTATATTTAGGGAGTCTTTATGCAAATAATTCAATTTATTATGTATTGAAAACGTCTTTACTATGCAGATATTATTGGCTAAAACAATTTTTTTATGCAATTTGTAAGTTGTTTTTATGAATTATATAAAATGTTTATTAAAAACGTTAATAAAATAAAACAGTTCGTGGATATATTATAATTTTTTAAAGTTTTCTCATACATTTACATAATTTATTTGATAAGATATGATAAAATAAGTTGTTTATAAGTCCAATCTTACTTGTTCCGTCCACATAAAGGTTTTATGATTTAATTTTTAATTTTAATAGATATGGTTTGTTTCTTAAAAATTTAAGAAAAATATTAGAGGAAAAAAAAAGATTGAATTATGCTTTCAACAACTTCTTTTCTTAAACACTTTCCTTTTACTTTAAAGGAACTTATAAAGAGATAAAAACATTGAGAAAGAAAAAAGATGATTCATATTATATCAATTCATCTTATTCAGTATGACTATTGGAAACGTTTCGACTTTTAGTCTATTTTAAACCGGAACTATTATTCTTATTTATCACCTTGTGATCAAATATTTTTTTAAACTTATTTTAAGTATTATTTTTAATTATTTATTATTTTTACTTATTTATCTAAACAACTTTCTTAATATATTTTTTTAAAAGTAATCTTTCTAAATTTTAAAAAAATTAAAAATATTACTAATTAAAGTGTCTATAATTAAGAAAATAAAAAATATTATCTTTAATCCTTTAATAGTCAGAACATTTTTTCATTTTTTCCTTTTAAATAGATGAGTGAATCACTATGATATAATATATATATATATATATATATATATATATATATATATATATATATATATATAAATCCTTAGAAAGGTAATTGTCAAAAATATTTATTAATAGATATTTTATGAGTTGATATGTTATCTTTGACTTTGTATAACAAATATACGTTTAACATTCAAATTTTATTTCATTATAAATGGTGCATTGATGAAAAACACAATTAGTTAGTAATAAAAAAATTTAGTTAGTAATAGTAAAAAATTCAATGCTAATTCAAGTTTATTGACAAATTATTTTTAATTACAAATTTGTCAATAAATTCATTGATAAATGTGTATTGGTAATTATTGATAAATTATAGTATTGATAAAAGTTGCATTAGGTTCTTCTTTTCCTTTTTCTTCGTTTTTCTTCTTCCTCTCCTCATTTTGTTCTTATTGTTGTGCTTCCACTACTGTCATCATTGTTGTTGTGTACACCACCACTATCACTATCATCATGTTTAACTCACCCTCCTCCTCTTTCAACTCCAATTGCCACTATCTTCACTCTTCCGTGACATGTCACTATCACACTTCCATTACCTCCACTACCACTGACTTTAACTTTTCCTCTTCCTCCTCTTCCTTCTTCTTCTTCTTCTCTTCTTCTTCTTCTTCTCTTCTTCTTCTCATACATCTCCTTTTAGACATGGCGAAAAATATTTCGCTCAATTTACCAATAGATTTATTAACAAAAAATTTTGTTGATAATGCTACAAGTTATTGACAAAATTTATTGATGAAACTAATGTCAAACAAGTTACTAAAGAAAATATTTGTTAGTAATATAAATTCTAAATTACCAAAAAATGTTACTGACATAGTCGTCTTTTCAATTCTATCCTCTATAAACTCAACAATGTCTCTCTTCAAGTGAATCTAACATCCATGTGTTTTGCTCTCTCATGGTAGATTTGATAACTAACTAGATGAATAACACTTTGACTATTAGTCACACAATCCTACAAAAAACCCAACTCTCTCATCATTCCATTTAACCATAGTGCCTCCTTAACCCCTTTATAAGCATGATATACTTTGTTATCGTAGTAAATAAAGCCACCATTGATCACAAACTAAATTTCCAACAAGTTGTAATTATGAAAAATGTAAAAACATACCTTGAAAGTGAATTTTTGATATCAACATTCCCTACATAATCAACATCTAGAAACCCTTTTATAATAACTTTATTATAGGTAGATTGTATATCACTTGACCAGACAATATTCTTCTATTAAGATATCTCAACACCCATTTCAAAACCTCATAATGAGTATGTCCTTGATCTACTATGAATCTACACACTAACAACATGTGCCAAATCTGGTCTACTATAGACCATCTCATATAAGATGCTTCCTACTCCATTAGTGTAATGTCCAATTTTGGGATGTCATGATTACGAGTAAAAAGTTTAAAATTTTAAAATCATAATACTATGGCAGAAATCCAAATTTTATAAATCTTTATAGTTAACAAAAAATAAACCATAGTTCCAATTTATTACAAAATAAAACTCCAAATAATATAGTTTATTCAAAACAAAACCATAAAATTCCCTAACTCTCAATTAACTTGTCCCGCTATATTGCATCTAACTTATCTACATTATCATCTGCTCTTGTATAACGACACGAGTTATATGATCATTGCACATACACAAACAAACACACATAATGGTGAACTAATTGAGAATCAAACTTAATCCAAAATAAAAGAATTCACAATGCCAAATATTCATCACAATATTAAACACACAAAATTACTCAAACACAACACACGTCATTATTACAAACCAGTGGTCTATTATACTGCCATCGCAATAAGACATGTTTCTCGTGCCCCTAAAGAACTTACGAGTAAAAGCTTCGGTGAATCTTTCCCTTCTCCCCTGCATCGCACTGGCGAAGAGAACTTCTTTCCACTGCTTTGCACAAACGAAAGAGTCATCGTTGGATTTACTACGTAGAACAATATGACCCCTAACAACCTGTCTTACTTCACTCACATAAAATCAAACGACAACCTCACATACGAAAGCATATTGTCTCGTAACCCATTTGAAATCATTCCTCACATAATGACATTCTCAAGACATTAATTAAGAAAATATCATAACAATATAAAGTCAACCAAAAACACATAAAATAGTCAAATATATGCTAAAGACATCCCTTTTGTTTTTCCAAGCCCAATTATTCCTAATCATAAAAACTCATCCACCTACCTAATTGGACTCCATGTTGTAAAAAAGTGCCTCCCACGTTGCTAACTTATGTAACTCACTCATCTTTCTCCATGTATCATTCTCTTTTTACTATTATAACATAATACACAATGGCCCCACACCATAATTTATGTAAAACACTCATTTGTATCTATATGAATCACCTTTTCTATCTATATGAACCACCTTTTCTATCTATATGAACCACCTTACAATAACTTTGCATGCAAAACTCTCTTTATACTATAACTTTCATTAACTCACCAATAATATTCTATTATAAATACTAAAACACAGTCTCACACCCTACTTAGTATTCACATGCACAAGTTCCTAATACACCAACACATTCTCATAAATATCTTACAATCCCACTACCACTTTTACTAAATCATAGATTTCTCTTTCCAAAAGCTATTTATACTAGCACCAATATCTCATTCCCCCATACCACTTGTTTCATGCACTCATTCCTCTCCCTTTTAGAACCAAGTTTTCATTTACCAAAGTTATGATGCCCGTGAACCTTCTTTCACGAAAATTCTTTACACTGCGTATTACTTCTTACTACACAAACCACACTTTACGGAACATGTATCTCTATATCAAAAACACCTTGCATGTACCCTAAGATCAATCTTCAATCTTTACTTTTTGTTTTGAACAACCCAGCTCCCACTCTCCACTGACCCCAAACCTTAATATTTTTTTACCCCTACACCCTCTTTCTTTTACCTCCAACCGTACCCATGCACCAAACTTAAGTTCCCCTATCTACTTAAAAACAAACCAACAACCTATAGTCCATGAAATACTACTTCAATAGAAAAAGAACCATCAACCAAACAGTCCTCCAAACTACTCATGCACTATAGACCCATGCTTTCCCTTATTATTTTTTCTCACCTAAGTCTCTATACTCTACGGTCACAAATTATTAGAGTTGTTAGTTTTTTTTAAGCCCCAAGCCTAACCCTGGACTTTTTTTATACATAGCCCATTTCTGTTGACACATACCTTAGGGGGGTTTTTTAAAGCCCCTAGCCCCCAAAACCTCATTAGATGGGTTGTGAATGAAGTAAGGCCAGGTTAGCCCCCAAAACATCATTTTTGTTGTGCGAGTATTCCCATTTTTTTCTGAACAACCGTTAAGCACTTGACGACATCCCCCTCACTCTTGTCGCCCCTCCCTCCACCTCCTCCTGCCGTCTCCCC